CCAGGTTGAGTTGAAGGTGATGGTCCGTCATCCAACAAGAAATGTCTGTTAGACATGCTGAGATGCAAGCAGCTATCGTCGGATCATCAGGATGGAATGAGAGGTAGAGTTGAGTGTCATCAGCATAGCAGTGTTATGAAAAGCCATGTTTCTGAAAATTAAAAAAAAAACAATTTGAAAAAGTATATAACCCCTGATTTACACCGTCGCCGCCACTCACGCCGCGGCACGTTTCAGAAGTGGCTCTCTGCGCTGTTTTGCTAAAGATAGGTGCCTATCTATTTCTGACGGACGTTGCGTTCAAGCCGCACAGCAAATACAAAATAAAAACTCCAAATATATACTCTACAAAACTGGCACAATTGTAAATAAGTTACTTGTTTTAAAAATGTGAAAGTGTTCATTTGTTTTGAAAAATGCCTTGTATTGGTACTGTTTTAAAAATGCTTAAAATGCTCTGTAGACTTTCCAGTATCAGAACAAATGCCGGTGGTATCCTCCTGCTCACAGGCACTGTAATTTCGTGGGGAAAACATGGAAATAATTTGTGATTTTATATTGCAAACATATGCTTTCTTCTTCTGTTTTCCACACACATTTTTGTGGAAATGGATATAGTACTGTTTTTTTCTGGATTATACATTTTCCAAGGCGACATATAAAGCAATCAAGGTCAAGCGCAAAGCATGCACATTAGGATTGGTGACGAATGAGAAAAGGTAAGTGAGTTCGTTTTGAGTTTGTATTGTGCATTTTCCAGCAACCATGCCGCTAGTTTCAATTTCGCTTTAAATATTTAGGCTGGGCGTTTATAACATACTGTATGTTTATAGTGAATGACACTATAATTTGTGTTTGTTTTTTACTTATTTTTTCGTTATTTTTTCTATTCTGAACACTGCTAAATTTACAAGATTTTTTTTGTGGAGTGTGGGGAATATACATGTTTCTAATGTTTTTAAATGTTTTGTTTATTTTACATTATTTCTCAATGAAATGATAAAATGTGTCTTATACACCAATGCAACTTATCTGTGTGTTATAAAGTGCTCACAAAAAAATAGGAAGAGATGGTACAAGAATACAGCTGCCATGTATGTACAAGTATACATACAGTACAGTAGAAAGTGAGTGTCAATTTAGATTAAAAAAAATAAAAAATAAAGCTTCATTTGTCATAAACATATTATGCGGCCCCTCACTTAATGTGGAAAACTTGATGTGGCCCCTGAGTCAAAAGGTTTGCCCATCCCTGATTTAAATGATCTTTTGATCATACATCTCTGATGTATGATTCATTTGTAATTATGGAGCACATGGAGCACGCAGCAGCCAGCTCCATGTACCTCTCCTTTTTCCGCTCAAAGGCAGCCTCCAGCCCCTCCTCCCATGGGACGGTCAATTCGACCATGATGACTGTTTTTGAAAGGGTGGACCAGAGGACAATGTCAGGCTTTAAAGAGGTTATGGTGATCTCAACCGGGAACCTCAGCTGGCGGTCGAGATCAGCTGCCATGCTCCACTCTCCTCCCAGTGACAAGAGAGACCGCTCCTTCAGCCTGCCGCTTTGGCTCTCTTCCCTTGTCTGACAAAGTGGATCCGCTGCTGAGATCTTACTGAATGGGCCCTGTTTGCATCCAGTCTGTGCGTCTCCAAGACTTCCGCAAGCTTGCGCAAGACTTGGTCATGGCGCCATCTGTAGCGGCCCTGGATCAGTGCTGCCTTGCACCCAGAAAGGATGTGCTGGAGACTTGGATTCTGGGAGGAGCATAGATGACAGTTCTCTTCTGATCCATACCACAATTGTAGGTTCTGTGGGCTGGGAAGCATATCGTATGTGGCCCTTATGAGAAAGCTAAGCCTTGCTTGCGGAATCTTCCACATATCAGCTCACGTGATGTTTCTATTGATAGCTTCCCAGGTTGTCCATCTGCCTTGCTGGTGTAGCCGCACAGCTCTGACCTTGTAACACTCCCCCTCCATCTTTGACACTTCTGTGATCACCAGATCTTTCCTTTCCTTTGTGGATGCTTTGGACCACATTTTAGGTGCAGATCCCCATCCAAGCCCCGTCTTTCCTGGCTGTGAGAACCCAACAATCTCCTGATGCTGTAGTCTGTTGATGGCCTGTTCCACTGTCTGCGTCACGCTCTATTTGCGTCCTGTGCGGATCTGGGCTTCAGTGTTTCTCACAAGAAGGTCGGGTGAGTCTCTTAACTCAAATAGCAGCCTCACCTTCTCCTGCTTGTAGCCCAAACTGATGGCTTTTAGTGGGAGTTCCAAGATGTTTCTCCCAAACAGTGTCACATTGGAAAGACTGCGAGGGAGGCCAAGCCATTTCTTGATGTAGCTATTTGCCTTCCTGTCCATTTTCAGGACGGTTGTTAAGGTAACGTCACACAGCTTCAGAGGCCACATAAGATGCTTGTACAGAGTAAACTGGTAACACCAAACTTTGAATTTCTTTGGGAGGCAGTTTTGGTCAATCTTGTTCAGCCCATCTACGAGCTGGGATATCACAGTGTCAGCCATATGCCTGTCAGATACATCAGCAGTGTAGAGTCTTCCTAGGCTTCGGACAGGTTGGTTGCAAAAGAAGAGGAATTTTCTCACCGCTCACTGAGAAGCAGATATTATCATTCCTAACTCCCTCAAGAATCGAAAGGCTTCGGGAATTAGCTGGCTTTATCCTCATCCGAGCCCATGCAAGCAGCTCCTCCAGCCTTCGGAGGAGTCTGGACGTGCATGCAGCTGTCTGGAGAAGGGTGGTGACATCGTCCATGTAACTTCTTATGGCTGGAAGCCTATGGCCTGAGTGGGCCCTGACTCCTCGGACCATCTGCCTGCCACCGATCAAGATGATCTCGAATGCGGCAGTAAAAAGGATGGGGGAGATAGAACATCACATTGCTATGCCCCTCTCCAGCGGGTACCAACCTGTCGAGATCTCTTGGGTTGTGTAGCAAACTTGGAAGGTGTTAAAGTACTTGGTCACTATGGTCTGAATGGCCAGCGGCACATAGAAAAAATGTAGTGCAAAGGAGATTAGTTGGTGGGGAACTGACCAGTAGGCATTCTCAAGGTCCAACCAGACTACGTGCATATCTCATCTATTCCTCTTGGCTGTCTGGATTTGGTCCCAGATCATAGCTGAGTGCTCCACGCAGCCAGGGAAGCCTGGGACTCCTGCCTTCTAGTTTGATTATTAACTTGATAAATGTTGCTTTTTGTGTTTGAAATAACTCTATAGGCCTGTATATTCGCTTATGGGTTGAGAAATTCATTTTGCGCGTCATGA